ATAGTACAGAACACAAGCAAGAGCCTTTCCACTTTTGATTTTATCTGTGTTTCAAGATGTCTTAAAATGTGTAAACCAATCAAGGATTTATTGCTTTATACGGCACTTTTTACTGTACTAGCAAGTCAAAGTTGTGGGTTTGTTATTCAAAAGGATTTGGAGCTTGATCATCACGTAAGTATTGCAGAATAAACAGTGCATTGCTATGGAGTGCATTCCTTCTTTTGCAGTGATAGCTGTTTAATTCATGGAAATCCATTCGGCATGATTGTGTACAAATATTTCTAATGTCAATGCGTTTGATACTGTTTCAGAATTTTGCCTTTCTGACGAGTTTTTGTGGTGAACCAACTGGAGCAGCACTAAGATACACCATCAAATTCCCAGCGGTATGAAAACAAATCGCTAACGTTTCCATTTATTGCGGTCGGCTATGAGTTGATGCTCGAAATCTCTAAATAACACGTAAAGACAGATTAGAGGGTAGTCTTATTATCGGTCAGATAGGGCTGTAGATAGCGTTTTATGTAGGGCAATTTAAAGCACGCAAAACGACGCAAGGCTAACGAAATCCGACTGTTAGTTCTGAAAACTACTTGAAACTTTCACAGGAAAACTGTTGTCCAAGTTTGCTGAGTTACTTTGAGAGTCAATGGTGGGAAATCTGGCCCGATCCTCAYAAGGTATTTTCTTTTCTCGTCAATACAGAAAATTACTTCTAAGCTGAATGTGATGACAAATTAAAAAAAACATTTTTTAAAGCTATCACAAATAGTTTAAAGAATTTCCATTGCGTGACTTGTGTCACAGTGTGCGTTACCTGTTGGATGCTGGATGCAGTATCTCTCAGGACCCTGGGGAATCCGATGGACTTTTCACGTTTAGTGTGATTTTTTGTAGAATTGCACAGAGAAGCAAAGTGTTCTTCGTCAGGAATGGAGTCAAATTCAGCCACTGACYCCAGGAAATCATCTTTCTGGATGTAAAAAATACACCTTGAACACCGTTAATACTACAAGTATACAWATTATATGTAAAGGTTCGTCATCATGGGGGGCGTGGCACTTACACGTGGTTTCTTGGATCTACACTGTTTAATATTGACAGGTGTTTGTTTATACAGGCACACGTACTTACAAAGTACACAGCTATGACCCTTCAAAAACTAAATGTTGGTTTATAGCAGCCAATAACTGTCAATCAAGGGTAGGTCATTATGACGACGTGTGCCTAAAATAGACATAATTCACAATTGCTTTGATTTTCTCGTAGGGTCTCAAGATTAGCTACACATTTAATATTACAGGTACAGGCGATTACAAGGATTACTCATTGCATGTCTTGGAGGTAAAAGTCTCATTCATATGACGTCGACTTCTCTTGATTGACAGGTGATAGCTGTTTAATTCATGGAAATCCATTCGGCATGATTGTGTACAAATATTTCTAATGTCAATGCGTTTGAT